AATATTTTTGAATTTCGAAATGAAGAACAGGCGTATACTTTTTCAATTTAGAACAATCCTAGGGAGTCAGAGCATTAAAATCCCCTTTACCTTTTCCCCCACATGTATTTTTGGGCCTCCCTAATGATATCAGTCACATTTGTATAAGCCACACTTTACTTAACTTTAAAAGCTCACATTAATACATATATACATAAGTATACATATGTGTGACTAAAATTGGCAATTCATTCCTTGAGAAATAATTAAGATCTATGAGCACGAAAGTGGTGAGTATTTCAAACGCATGTTGGATACGTTAAAAGGATAATAATTTTTAGTCGTTGGCATACCATGTGTGTGTAAAAGAATATTTATATGTAAATGTTTAATGTTCTTGCCACTTACCGAGTTTTGCTTGGTTGTTACGAATGGGGCTCTAGCTTACACTCAAAGTCATGAAGCAGAACGTGGGGACTAGGAAATCCAATCTCGCAAGCTTGCGGTATCGAGGTCACCAATCCCGCGGATTCGCGGGATTTGCGGGACTAAAAAAAATCATATTATTTCCTCTAAACAGCTATATTCAAAATTGATATGTAATAAATACGATTTAATTTAAAAAAATCTACGAAATTACTTTTAATTCGGTTGACTTCTTTGATAATATTTCCGAAGAAATGATAAAAAGAGCGTTAAGTTTTCAGTTTTAAGTTTTAAGTTTTAAATTCGACTTATTTTATTGCACAATCAGGAACTTTTGATTTTGGTGATTATGCATAGTTTCATAGGTATATAGTCAAAATCACTATATCTGTTGGGTATTTTTCAGAAGAAAATATATCATAGTAAGAGTTACTATAGTGCTTAATCTGATCTGAAACACTATACGCTCGCTGTAATTCCAAAACCAGCTAAAATATCAGTGATTATGGATTGTTCAAATTTAGCTAACTTTTCCTGTTTTTCCGATACTTTTTTACCGTTTGATATTTGAAAATGGCGTTAAGATAATATATTCTTTTATATACTCTTAAAAATTACATCAGAGCTAAATTTGTGCCTCTAATAGAACCAGAGTTATGAGTATTCGAAATTTAGCATCTGTAAGAAAGCTCAAATAAAAGAATAAATTTTTCCGATGGCACACTTATTTATCGATAGAAACGGACTGCTCTACACTTGTATAATGTGTTCATAAATCGGTAAGTGTACAAAGTTTAAGCTAGTTATCAAGGCGAACGTTTTCAAATTTTTATCACAAAAAAATCTATTAAAGGTTAATAAAACCCGACTAGGTGTTTGATATGTTTTTGGGGTCGCTGAACATGAATCTGAAATCCGTTTAGCTCCTTCACGTCAGGCTTTGCTTCTAACCTCAAAACACATTGCGAAAGTTTCCCCCGTCGTAGCCAGTGCTGTCGTTTGTTAGTTTGAAAATCTCCAAGGAAGATAATTTAGGTAGGCCTTCTTAAGTGAAGTTATTCTAAAAGGTTTACTAATGAAGAACTGGGAATGCTTTTTTGCAGACATATTTGATATAAACGATTTAACGATGTATGAATTTTATAATTTAGAGAAGCAGCTTTCAATAAACTCCTCCAAAAGACCTTTTGAAGTACTTCCTATAAAAGCCTTTCTGAAGGCCTTCTATGGGTAGCGAAAGAAGACGCCCTTCAATTGATGCCATTCCATACAAAAAAGAAAGGAGAAAGGAATGTAGAGTGGAAGGCCCCTTGACTCTCAGGAAAGCCTTTGGAAGAGCTTTTAGCTCCTGAAGTTATCTAATGGGTAATAAAATTATGTATTTTTAATACAGCTATGTACGACAAACATTTTGGCGAGCACGTTCACAACTGGCATTCGTCTTTTTAATTTTTTTTCTTTAGTCCCGTAAATCCCACGAAAATGGCGCAGGATCCCGCGCTTGCGGGATTGAATTCCCTAATGGGAATTGAAGCTTTTGACAGAAAACGACGCCATTGCACTCTTAGTTTTACCATATATACATAATGTACATATGAAGTTGTTGTAGTTGCCATTCTAATTCAATTATCACATGTGCTATATACATATGTATGTACATGCATACGTACCTAGATACACGGTTGGCTGTACTTATGTGTTCGCTTGACATTAAATGACACTAAAAGCCTTGTCAGCGGCAGCAGCACCAACAACAAACCCAGCCAGTAACACACCGAAACAAACTCGTAAAAGCTGCTACAGCTCCAGCATCAATCCAGTTTCAGCATATGCGCCAAAAAGAGGGAAAAACAGGGCAGCGCAATGAAAATTAGTGCGGGTATAAAGGGAGGCTGTTTTGTTCTGTGTGAATACTATGTTAAATTCTTAACTCTCCTCATTTGGATCAGAATTTTTGCTCGGTTTGAACATGTATGTACATTAGACCGTATCACATTACAAGCAAAAAAAAGTTCGCACGAAAATCCTGAGTTTAACACATTTTTAGAATGCAAATTTTTGCGGAACCTAGGAGTACATTTTTCGCTGATACCTACATTCAGCATTACAAAATATATTAAATAGTTCTACTCGAATAATCAAAATAAAAAGTTTAAGGATTTGTAGATAGCTTAAAATTTTTGGCATTAGGGTGGTACGTTAGAATTAAAGGGCAAGTACTTGAGGCCAATGAACTTTGGAAAAAAAATTTCTCCTCGATACAAAAGCATCGATGTAACGTACTTTTAGATGCGACTGTAAATGCCCAGATATGATGAAAAAACTGGAAATACTCGCCGAACTTTGTTTTCTGGTACGGTGTAATGTTAAAACATATGTATGTATGAGTGGTAAGTAGGGTGATTGACTCGGTTTCCTCCGGGTTTTTCAATATCTATAGGCGTTTTTTTATTTTGATTTTTCGAATATCGAATTAACCCGGTTTTTTTATATTGAACGAACCGGTTTTTTTCATTTCATACCTTTCAATAAAAGTTTGGAGTTTTTCGAAGTTTTCAAGGCAAACCCTAAATAGTTTTCAAATTATATCCTTGGTCCGAAGAAGCTTTTTTATGGCAGAAGTAAACTAGGAGGTTTGCCAGAGGAGCGGCCAGAAATTGGACCAAGGGCTCGACTATGGCGGCGAGAGCACTACTCAAATCCGGAAAGTCAGAAAAAATGCATAATTATTTTAATTAAATTTTAATTAAAAAAGGTTAAAATAAGACCAAACGTGAATTATTCACTGAATTTTATTGGTTTTACTTTTGACCTAAAAAGAAACTTGAGTTTGAACTTGTTTTGCTTTGCTCTTTTCTAAATGAAAGCTATATTTACTGTTAATAGTTTTATTGTAATTTTTGGTTTTGACTTCATTCCAAACATAAGCATTTTCACTGTATGAACCGGTTTTCCAGGTTTTTTCTTAATTTAAAAATGGGGAACCGTTTTTTTTTTCAAATTGCAATTTTTCGAATAACTCGAAAACCGGGTTTGGAAGAAAACGCCAAAAATTATCGAACATTCTAGAAGTTAGGTTATAGGAGGAAAAGGAAGCACAAGTGATACACACCTCCGCAAGAAGGACACCCTTCTAGAGTTGACTTTTTATTTATCAACCCTAATTTTCCTATAGTTGGCAACTCTATTTAAAACAATTTCCTAAACTAAGAACTTCTTCGACCACCATGTTTGAATTATTTGTTCAGTTAATTTACTTAACACTAAATTACCTCTGTTTTAAGGCAACCCTATTCAAAAAAGGATAAAAATTAAAATTTTCTTCAACTGAAATAGGCCGCTATTTTGCTATGTTTGCTATATTTGTTTGTCTGGTTATTCTAAACTACCTCTTTTAGTGGGTAATTCTGCTTTCGAGCACTAGATCTCGAATCTAATCGAAGATGAGGGTAGTGTATACCTGAAATACTACATACTTGCAATTCACCTAGACTTTGTGATGTGGGCTTGCACTTTTCACCAAACCTGAACGAGTTAGTGGCAGCTGTATTTTTTATAGAAAATTCTACCGATACCAAAATGGCCAGACCAATCAAAGCCCTAGTTGGGCAGGATTTCATTACTCTGTGTCACAACATGCTGATTCATTGGCAACTTATTTCTCAAAAAAAGTTTTGTTAAAATAATTACTTGCTGAAAAAGTTCATTGGCTTCCAGGATCATTTGCTGAACATATTGATCTATAAAAGAAAGCCAGCAACTATTGACAGCCTTGGAAACGAACAACATAAGGAAACTTTCAGGCCCCATTCCCTCCGTAAAAGTTTACTTCCTATTTTTCCTCCTTACTCACTCCATTTTGTAATTACTAATTCACAACTAACTGACAAAAGCCGCAAAGTGTAAGTAAAACACAAAAGGATAATAAAGATGGTGACAGTAAAATATTTCGGCCACATAGAAGAATATACTCTAAGCTGCACTAAAAGCAATTCGCATTCACTGAGACAGAAACGCTGTACGTCTCGCTCCTCTGTGTCCATATATTCACTGTTAGTTGGTCCATTTCATTCGCTGCCAATTTCAAGATGATTTAGTTAATTTGTTTACTTTGTGGTATCGTAATTTTGTCGCTGACTGTTGACATATGAAAATTACGTTGCAGGAAGTACAAAAGACAATTAGAGAGATAGAGGCGAATATTTGAAAGGTGCAGCAGGAGCGGTAAAGGAACGTTTGGAACGCAAAAGACTTCATTTCATTGTGTGGTGGTTAGTTTGGTTATGGAAAATTTAGTGTTGGCAAACAACTTTTGGACATTTGTGGTTAAGCTTTTAAGTAGAATTTAAAATGTTTTTTGGCAACAGGGTGCGAAATGGTTAAGAAAAAAGTTTACTTTTGATAGAAATGGATTAGCGGTAATTAGCTGAGAAGGTCGAAATTACATAAAGCATTTTACGAAAATTGGAAGATAAGGAACACGTTCGCAATATTTTAAATTAAATGTACTAGTTCATGTTTTTTAGTGTTTGATTATTCAAAATAATAGGTTTTTAATACAAAATTAAATTAAATTTATTTATTATTTATGAAAATCAAATGTACGGTATGTACAACGCTAACCTACATTATCTTACTTCTCAATAACATTATTACGAATATGAGTTACTTGAAATGCCGACGGCCTGATCAATTTGTAAGTTCGGAGAGAATGTCAGAACCCAAAATTATTTGTTTATTGATGTGAAAGTAGGGACCAGCTTCAGCTGAAATATGAAGAAGAAAAAAGTTGCTATTAAACTAGAAGTTAAAGCATAATGCACTTAAATACGCGTAAATATACAATTGTATTAAAATGTAAGTCATAAGGACACGATCTGTCTGAAATACTTGATGCGACAAAACCAAAAAAAAAAATATAAAATGAAAATTCAAAACACATGGAACAACCAATACACTCACGACACTAGGCGCCAAATATAGTAAAACTACGTTTTTGGTTTTAGTCTCTCCCGTCGGGATTTCTTTAAAGGACTGGCAATTTCACAGATAAAATTAATAACAATAACAATATGGGCACCAAATGGAAGAGAAAATTCTGTAAAATTTTTTTGTTCAGAAGTACAAATATTTATCGATAAAGTCCCCAAAAATATTTTTTAAGCTTCGTAAATAAAGTTAGGAGGAGGGAATTCGTGGTGGTTGGTCATGTATATATTAGTCTAAGAAAAAATTTGCAAATTTTCACGGCTATTCAAGGGCATCTGCAAGCATATTTCGCCCTTGTGCACCACAAAATGTAACCTTTTTTAATTCTACAGATTTTTTTCTTTATTTGATATCCATACCTATGTACGTATTTTTAAAATATTTTTATTTAATCATATATTTAAAATTTCTTAAATTAGCAAAAATCTTTTACGATATATGGACCCTAATTTCGCAAGTATATTGATTTTTGTGTGTGTTAAATTGGCCGTCGCACGGTCTTATGTAAATACCGGGCCCAAATTGTTATCATAGCTTATAAACTAACAACAATTACACTTTACGTACTCTTCATGGCTCTAATATCCAGCTCAGGTTGATCTCCAACCTTTGGCTCCCCATGCACTGCGAACGAATACCACAAATCTACCATTTTCATTGCGATTCTCGTATCATTCGCATTGAGTTTGTGCGTAGCAAATAAGTATATATTATCATTCGAATGATGCACGCCGCCCTCAAAAGGATATTGTGAATTACCAAACTCATAGCCGAAGCGTGTATGCTCGCCTTCGTAGTCAAAGCTATAAAGGTACACTGGAGCCGCACCTCTTCTCTGCAGGCCGTTAGCGTAAGCAATCACTGGCGATTTCATGGCTATAATATTCGCAGCCTAAAATAATTTAAGCAAGAATTAAAATACTACAAAAGTAAAAACTTTCGATCCATTAACTATCTAACACACTAACATCAAAGTATGCCGGCCATGCAGCTGTATGATTGTTACTCTCCAATAGTTCCTGTTCGAAAAGCATGCGTAAGAGCAAATTGTTGGACAGGCTGGTGCTGTCCTTGCCCACATCAATGAGCGTGTTTGCGAACTGACGCACAGTTAATTTAGAAATGCTACCTAACATTGCCACAATACTGTCGTAGAGTGCTTTTAGATTGGAGAGAAGTTATATTTTCAGAGATTTACAGATTGCATTTTTGAATTAATCAGTTAGAGGCGTACTTGCCAATGCAAAAGAGCCATCATGTTTAGTGAAACCGGGCATCAGCGGTACTGTGCGTTTGAGATTTTCAAGCAGCACTCTCGGCTCTGAAGGAAGCACGCCAAATACATCGGCAACTACGGGACTGAAACTTTCCTTAAATACATAATTTCAAATATTAATTTAATTTTTCTGAAACTCATTCTCAGCTCACCGCTGCTGTCACTCTGAGTAACTGTAATACATTCACACTCCTCAAACATTTATACTGTTCCGCACTCTCGTCACAATGCTCGCAGTTGAGCGCCTCACAGATGCGTTTCACTTGCGCCAGCGGTTCACGATTGATGGCCCAAAATGCAGTTATGGCACCCGATTGCACAATGGAACGCTTGAAGTAGCTCTCTGACGTTTTGGGACTCAGCAGCAAGGCGCCAGACATAGCTGCTCCTGCACTTTGTCCGAATATTGTAACTTTGTCGCGATCACCGCCAAATGTATAAATATATTTCTGCACCCAACTCAAAGCCAGCTGCAGATCCATTACGGGCGCATTGCCAGGCATTTCCTCGGTGAGTGTAGTCAGCCAGCCGAGTGCGCCAATGCGATACTGTGGCACTACCAGCACTATGTCCTTTTCTAGCAAATGGTGTGGCGGATGATCAGAGGCGGAACCATTATAAAAGCCACCGCCGTAAATGTAGAACATAACTGGTTGTCTGGCATTGAGCTGGAAATAAATTTAGAGTAGAGAAGTAGCTACAAGATGTTATTAAATTTATAAATAAGTCCAACTTACGCTTTTGGTGTAGACGCTCAAGTTCAGGCAGTCTTCGAGGTCATCTTTCAGTTTGGAGGCATTTAATTTCGACACGCTTGTTATAACCGGACAACGTTTGCCAAAGTTCTGTGCGTCGAAGGTTTTTTGCCAAGGTTTGCGGCTTGTTGGTGGCTGAGAGAACACAGAGAATTACCAGAACTATCGTTCTTGCTTCATAAAAAGTTATATGTAAAGTATATTCCTTACAAATAATTACAGTAAAGTGAAGGACAACATTTTGTCTGCAAAGGCTTATCTAATCAACGCTTGCGAAATGCAGATTGCGACCGGTAGAGTAACAGATATAGGCCCTACCAAATTTTTGATTATCCATCCAAGTGAACAGATAGCCAAAAAGCCTGTCTGGAATCCTAAAAATGCCCTCAATACTTGCTTCATTCTGAGTTAGCTACACACATTAGATGGACGTTCGGAAAATGGGCAGCTAGTTCAAATTACAGAATGATTCAGCGCTCATAAGAAGGTTTGCTGTTCTTACGTTGCGCGAAAGATTTTTAGTTGACGTTACTAAACTGTTTTCTCAGTGTATGCCGTAAGGGAGATTAAGCAATGAATATAAAAAATCGTGAACTTTTTTTATGATAAAGAGTTTTGCTGCGTAATGCAGACATATGTATGTATGTACATACAGACTAGCCATGGGTAATAGCGCATTTTTATGGCGCTAGCTCAATTACTCCGGCGCTACCTGTGGTGTCAGCGCAATAGCGCAGTATGCTGATTTGAACACAGCGCCATCTGAGTGTCACCACGGTACCCATCGTCATACAGTGTCATCCATACAAAATACAGTGGTGTCATGTCTATTATTTCTGCAATTTTCGGCGCTGAGCAACGCTTGTACCGTCAACTGAATTTAACTATTAGTAGTAAATGCCACGATATTCTCATCATTCTTGAGTAAAAGCTTTAAATTTGCCAAGGTACATAAGTTTCTGGCGTTCTCACAACTCAAAAACAAAAACAAATAGGTGCAATTTTTTAAAGAATTAAGGCGAATTTTGTGTGTGTCTCAAGTGTTTCTTGCTGTTAATGGCGCTAGCGCTTTTCATATATTGGTGTTGTCGCGGCAACTCCTGCTATGGTGTTAACGCAATTACGCCGCGCAGCGCAGTGTTATCCATGGCTAGTACAGACTTTGGAACGACATAAGGTGAATTTTTTTTGTAAACGAGCAACAAAAGAATGCTCAACTTGTGTAAAATTTCCTTTTAGCTACTTAAGCAACCCTGTTGGTATCTGGCAACAAACATGTGATGAGTTTAACGGGATTTACACACAAAACCAATAGAAATGGGTAATTATGCGAGGGATTTGCTTTTCATTTACTTGTTTAAATTTACGGATTCTGGTGACTAGGTAACCGGTCCGCATTCCGTTGCTGGCCCGTTATTCCGTAGTGGCGTAGCTTTGGTACTGGTAGGCAGTGCTCTGCTGACGCCGCTGAGTGGAATGAAGCGCTCACGGCAATGTCGGCGAGTTGTGCTCTGGTGACGCCGGTATGTAGGGCTCTCGGCAATTTCGATGAGTCGCACTCTGCTCGTTTCGGTATGTAGCGCTCTCGGCACGCCAATGAGTGGCGCTCTGATCGTCGGTGAGCGGCGTTCTTGGCGTCGCTCTGATGGTGGCGGTGGGTAGCGCTCTTGTTGACGCCGTTGATGTCACTCTGCTGACGGCGGTGCTGACGTCGGGAGAGCGGGTGTCGCCCGTGCGCGGTTTAACGACGGCTGTGGTGAGAGCGTGTGTAACATGTGTCGCTGCCACTGAGAAGGTGACATCCAGCCCAACAGTCAAGTTGCGGAAATGGAATCAAGCCCGACAGTCGATCCGGAGCAGATGAAGTCACTTCTTGCCAATGGCCGCCTGTTCACAGTCTCGTGCTGACTGACTGGTTTCTTCACGTGCTACTCCTTTAAGAGGCTGCGTGCTTAAAGTTGCGTGGCTGTGCAGCATGGCAACGAAGAGGTTGTCGGGTGTTGTTACGACTTTTGCTGCTGTGGCTTATTGCGCGACTGATTGCCTTGTTTTGTGTTGCTGTTTGTTTGGTGGTGTGGGATTTTGTGTGGGCTAAATTTCCCATGGGCATTTAGTCCTCATACTTGCCCTACTTGGTGATCTGGATCCTCGGGTCTTGGTCTTCGGGTGGACGTGTGCGCCCCAGTGGTAGTCTTTGGTACTGAACCTCAGCCGGGGTTTCCATGCGCGCGAGGTGATATTTCTGAGGCTCCGACGGATTCTTTCGGCTATTGTCGGGAACTGGTCTAAACCGGTCCATCTGCGTCGCTGATGAGGATCTTTATTCCCTCTGGTGGTACCGTCGGTTGTTGCTCTCTTCGGGATACGGGCTGTTGAGGTGGTAGACCCCCGGACTACTGTTCGCGGTGGTGTAGTAGATGCAGCGACACCTATGTCGTGGTTTAGTAGTGGCGAGTGCGGTAGTGGCGGCGGCGGCTCCGAGCCTTGGCGTCAACGCGCATGCTGCTGAATCGTGGTCAATATCTGCGCCCGCTTCAGGGCCGTCATACGGGCCGTGAACAGCTCTGCGATGAATCCTGGTGCGCCTCTGCCTTGCCCGATGAAGCGCATGACCCTCTCGTTGGCCCCCAGTGTATATACACCGCAGTCCCCATCGTTTCCTTGTTGTTGGACGCTCGGGTAGACTTCTTGAACCCCGAAGCTCACCCCGCGCAAGCCTCTGGGTGTACTCCCATTGTAGGAACTTTCCCCATGTTTCTGTTGCGTGGACGACTCTATCCCCCACCCTAGAAGCCACGGTAAATAGATAGCGCTCCCGCCACCATTCCATATCGAGAAGATGGTAGGTGGTCTCCCGGTTCACAAGGATCAGCAGGCACCAGTGTCCAGCCGTGTTGTGGGGCGGTAGAAATGTCCGCTTATCGAACCGGTCTATCTTTCGAAGCCAGCGATGGATGCGACGATAATTTTACTCCGGGTTCCTCTTTGCGGTAGTTGCCGTACTACAAAAGGGCTGAGTATAGTGGCCCGTGGCCCGAGCTCGGCTTCTAGCCCTCTCGCCCATACATCGATCACCGCGTCCGTCAACCATCGCGATGCTGCCTGGCCCTGGCGGGTATGTCCGTACCGGACCTTGCTCCTCTCATGGCGTTGTCTCTTCCCCTGAGGAGAGTTGGATGGTCGAAGACTGTATTCGCGTCGAGGGTAACTAGCTGTTGGCCGAAGTGGTTGGCGTGTTAGTCGGCGTCTCGCTCGAGTTGGCCGAGCTGTCATTTAAGCTAGTCGTGCTGTCGTCCAAGCTAGTCGCGCTTTCGCTCGACCTGGACGTATTCATAGTCAAAATTAAGTTGGTACTTAAAGTTGGTGATAAAGTTAGTGACAGATAACCCATCCAAAATTATGTAAAAAAGGTACAACTAACTTTAAGTACCAACTTAATTTTGACTATGAATACACCCCCATTGCGCTAATATATTTTTTTAAAGACCATAAGGACCTACCTTAATAATGAAAGTATAATTTAAAAAACTACACATAATTACGAACTATCGATAGTGAAAAAAAAACCCATCGATAGTACCGATAGTGCCATGGATAGTTTGCCACCACTAATGGCTACAAACACATTAGAAGAAACAAATTTATTACATTCCGTCCTTCAGCATCAATGTACATACAAACTTCCGGGGAACGAGCAACTTTAGACTACATTAGATAATTAAATATTTACACTTTTGAATTTTCATTAATGCCGTTACACTTATTTATGCATTTGGTTTTAGCAATCACTCAACACCGCTTACATTTCCCGTATTTTAATTCATGCTCTCTAAAAACAAACCTTAAAACGCAACTTTCCACTTGGCGATTCCGCATATGGTATGCCACGAAATGATAAAAATTGCTGTTTTGTCCATAATGTTTCATCATAGCTGCCGCGCACTGGACCTTGCCCATATATATTAACTACAGGAGAATCTGTTGGGATCGCTTTTGAAACCGTCAATGTGATGATAGTGATGACTAAGGCCAAAGCTAATATGCCGAGGAACACTCGCATTGTACTACTAGACGCACGGCGATTCGATCGAAAACTGAATACACAACGCTTAGAAAGAGATATATTTATTCAAAAACTATGTAAATAAATAGAGCGAAATGATAAGCAAGTGCACGTAAAGAATAAAATTTTATTTTTTAGTCGTCTTCTAAGTACCTGCGTATGAATATACATACAAACATATGTATGTGTGTACAAATGTAAATACATAGGAGCGTTTGTAATGTGTTGAGCTAAAATTTTTTACATGATTAGACGATCGTTTAGCAGTTTGGTGAACCAAGTTTATGCAAACACAAACAGTGAGAATTTCTAGCTTAGACTTAAAGAAAGAGTTCTTACTGTATGAGCGCCATTTTCTCTTCTGAGACCGCTCTGTTAAAAATAAAACGAAGTTTAGTGAACTACACATTGACTTATCATTTACACAGAGAGAAATAGAACCGATGGAAGAAAAAGATTGTCTCTCGGAAAAAATTCTAGGTTAAAGGGGTAAAATTGAAAAAAAAACAAGTAATTTTAAGCAAACAACAAAACTGACTTCAATTCTCATATACAAATTTAAGATTATCGTTAAGTTCTTCATCATCCATCGATCGGAAATAAACCAAATTAGTATGGGACTATCTTTGAGGTACATACCACTTTTCCGTTTAAAAAAGGAATTATACAAATCGGTTAACGTGGTCCAAAGTTATGCGGTAACATACATAAAAAAATATATATTCCGACGAATTGATAACCTTCTCCTTTTTTGAAGCCGGTTAAAAACTAATAAAATTCCGAGAAATTCCTCATTGATTTTATTTAAAGTCCTCATTGATTTTATTTTTGCAAATGTCTTTAAATTCACTTTAGTTTCGATAATAGGATCATGAAGAAATTCACCGTAATCTTAAATTTTTATATAAGCCTTGAAGTCGATTTCGTTTTGTTTTTACTTAAAAATTACATGTTTTATTTTTTTTTACGCTTTTGTATTTATAAACCGACTTCAAAAAAGGAGAATGTTATCAATTCGTCGGAATATTTTTGTATTTTTAATTTTTAAGTATGTTACCGCATAACTTTGGACCACGTTAACCGATTTCTATAATTCTTTTTTTAAACGGAAAGGTGGTACCTCCAGAGAATCAAAATAGTTCAAAGACATGTAGGGATAGGCATGGGGTAATCCCCCTGCGCATCGCAATAGGCCGCTGTGGCCTCCGAGTGAACTCTTCTCGGAGCTGCCCGTTTAAGCTAACCCAACCCAATAGATAGCCACAATCAAGAAGGGTAGATAAGTGATATAACTAATTGTAAAATCAAATTTCTCGGTTTCCTCCAATCGGTACTACATACCGCCGCGTGGTGGGAGAGTCGATTGTGTATCACGCAATCGTTTTAAAATTTGCTCATAATTTATACCACAAACCAAAACGGAATCGACGAAAAACCTCCATTACCACGTAAGCTTATGGGAAAATTACGTAGAGGTGATGCGAAAAAGGCATTTGAATGAGGCATCTTGCCGGCTGAATGAATGATGAGCCGACCGACACGCGTCACCCAAACCACAAACAGCAATCACATCGACTGCAACACCACCACCACCGCCGCCACCGCCGCCACCAACACCATCCCAAATGCAGCATTCTCACTGAGGATTGCTCTAACAACAATGCTCTTAAAGGATCTCAGGGATATTATTTATGCAACAGCAGCAATGGCAAGAGCAACAGCAAACCAGTTTTGACGCCCGCCGTCGGTTATTGATGCGTCTACTCACACAGGGCTTGTAAGTTCAACTTGCCGACACGCAACTATTAAATGCTTAATGACAATTTTATAAGCGTTGTTATTGTAGTTGTTGTTAATGATGTTATTGTTGTTGATGCTATCAGTAGCTTTGGTAATTTGTTGTTGTTATTGACTATGATTACATGCATTTTACACGCTTTCACGCGCACAAATCACAAGCAAAACATTTGGGTATTAAAGCAGGAACAGTGTGTAAAGAAAGTAAAGAGGACGAACAAAATTTAAAATTAACAGGCAAGTGTTTTATTAAAGCCGTTCGCAATTTTGGATTAATTTGATACTGTTGGTTAGGGACACTTGAAACCTTTCGATCCATGGATTTACAGCTTTGTATTGAGTGGCATGTAGTCTCATTTAAGCGGTCGAGACGGCCCAATGACTAGTATAAAATAAAAAGTCTGGAATTATGTTCCCGAGTTTAAGCAGACAGGTTTCAATGGCACTCTGCGTCAGCCAGGCGGCGGGATCATAGGCACGTCGTACCTTTCTGTTGATGATCCCGCTGTCGAGCACTATGCTACCGAAGTTCTTCTTTAACTCGTTTTTCAACTCATAATCCCTGAAAGCGCTGGGGAATGTTTTTTTTTTTTCGAAGAAAAAAATTTTTGATCAATTTTTTTTTAAGGTGAAGGAATAATTGTGACTCAATGGCAATATTTTTCCGTCAAAGGAAATTACATTAGCATTCAAAGCCATTTTTTTTCATATCAAAATATTGATTCTGTCGAAAGCGCTACGATCAATTCGCACGGAGTGTTCAAAAAGCACACTGTGTGCCATTGAGTTAGCTCGAATATCTTATTTATCAGTCGAGAAATGTAATTGTGAAACTTTCTAATTATTATGGTGTATTTTTGTTAAAAATATATGATTTATAAAAATATAATTCATTTTTAAACAATATATAATAGAATACAATAAAATGTCCATCATATTTGGGCGTACAAAATTGTTGATTCTTATTTCCTCCCAAAAAAGCCTGTACGTCTTATGCATGGCGGTTATAATTTTATATAAGAAGTATCCTAATGATGCCTAATTTACATTTAAATTAGGAACATTTCAAAACGTATGGCGTATGTTTCAGCCTGGAAACTGGAAATACATATGTTTTCCCATGGGCTCCGAGTATCTTAACCTCGTTCCACCTACACCTACCCCGGTAGCCTCTTCGGTTCGGGTTCGGTTTTGGTTTATCCGATATGTCTCGGATATGCCTGCCCAGCTGTGCTTATTACTAATATAAGTTTTGAACCTCTTTATAAAGCTCACCTCGGCAGCATATGGTATCCCTCGGTATTGCAATTTCAGGGCACTTCTGTCCAGTCCCCCTTAGTAAAGCTCCTTTCGCCTGAGTTTGTATGTAAATATGAAGAGGGGTAAGATCTAAGAGAACCTCCAAGGATGCGGTTGGACAAGTCCTCATGGCTCCAGTTATGCATAGCCTTTGTATCATGGAGTGCGCTTTCATTGTTCCAAGTTGTGTAG